TCTTGCAGTTTTTTCCCTCTCTTGTTCTCTTCTGCTCAACCTACAAAGACTTGGTTCTTGAATTGTGGAAGCAGTTTGCAGCTGCGTGTCTTAGTAGCTCTTATTTTGTCAAAGGATGCCTGTTGACCTTCAAGCATCCATAAAATCAAGGTATTAAGATACAAAATTTTAAAGAAAAGAATAGAAAGACTTGTCACAGTTCTTGAGTCTTAAGAATTAGAAAAACATTGCCTTTTAACTTGAAGTAGCTGTAGAATTCAGAAGTTGATACAAGTGCATCCTTTTTTTAGCATTTTATTCTTAACCATTTTCTGTCAGAGTTGAATAAATTTTTAATCTCTTGCTGTTTTGTAATGTCAAGGTGTCAGCCTAAAAGTGTGTGCAAGGTATAATATACTTTCTAACATCCTTGTGGTTGTGGTTGCTGATTCCAGGAAGTGTTACATTTCGGTTTACTTTTTTTATATGTTGGTAAAATCCAGATTTATTAAGATGCCATTTCATTATTTGATTATATTATTATGGCTGCTAAGTCTGTATTAGGAAGGCAGCGACATTTAAAAAAAAAAAGTTGCTTCTAACCCACTACCTAAAACATTGCCTCACCTTTTTGTCCACTTTACAGTAATGTGACCTTGAAGTCTTTCAGAGAATTTCTTAACAATGAGAATTCTTTTTACATAAGAATGAATGATATTTTAAAAATATCTTGGTGAAGAAATCAAATAATTAGGAAAGCTACAGCGCTGTTCATTTAGAGTAGAAATTCTATTTTTTGTTGCGGCACGTAGTACTAAAAACTTCAAGATAAAATGAAAAAAACTCAACTGTGCAATTGTAGTTGAAATAGGCTGTTCCAGGTACCTCTTTTCACAGTATTCTCTGTGTTGGAGGATTTTGGTTGTCGTTTTTTCCCTTCTGACGTTTGATTTTAATTTCCCAGTCAAGCTGCAGTACAGTAACTTAGAGCACTTATCCTGGGATAAACTCTTAGCCTGGGACGCTGCCTCGATTCCTCTCTGGGCCAGGCGCTTTACAGAGGCGATGCGCCCCACCCATAAGGCAAGGAACAATATGAGGGGGTTTTGTGCGTGTGATCCCTGTAGGCGGTTCTAGAGGTTTGGGATGACTGGCTTACAACTCGATGCATTTTAACCTTATTAGCTAGAAGGTCAGTTGTCGCAGAACCTGTTTGTTGGGAATATTTGTGAATTCTTGAAATTTTTGGCAAGCCTTCCCAGGAGTGGCCAGAGCAGAAGTGTAGTGTTCGGGCTCATTCAAAGCAGAAGGGATCCTCCTTTGCTCTCCTACTCCCTTGGGTCATAAAGCCTTCAGGTTTGGCTTGCACTAAAGCTGTAGCCATGGGGAATAGCCCATGGAGTCTTGATCCCTCGATAAAACTCTGCTTATTTGTGTCTGAATGATGAGAAAATAGATGTGCAGTTCAGTTATACTTTTCATTGTTTGTGAGCCCCAGCCCTGTGTGCCTGTGTGCACAGGCATTCAGACTGGTCTTGGCTAAATATTTTGATCAGCAATGGTGATCCTAGAGTTATCACTGTTTTGTTCTGGATACTGAGAAAATACTGCTAGATCTCATAATTTGTCATCTTTACTATTTAAACTCAGTTGTGCTCATTTTTTCAGTTTTCATTTATACTACAAATTATTCCATTTACAGTATGAACATTTATGTTACTGCTTGTGTCATGTGGACTGTTACGGTATTATTATTAGTAGAAGATTTCAGTTATTATTTTAATGCTGTCCTTATGTGCATTACAAATAAACCTGAATATTATCTTTAAGAATTTCTTAAATAAAATTTGGCCTTACCTATATAACTGATGTTTTGTTGTCCACTGAGGCTGACTTAATTGTAACTATCCAGTATTTATAGAAATGAGAGTTAAGGGTTTCTAACATCCTGTAGTAAAGAGGGGAAATATTATTCTTTCTTTTTGTGTGTTCTGAAAATGACCAAATGTAAGCTTATTTTCTGAGCGAGAATTTCTCAAAAATAATGAATATTGACCATAAGGATGCTACTAAGAAGGAAAGCATGAACAAACTGTGCTAGAAACTCTGCAGCCTCCAAGGAGAAAGCAGAATCATTCTCAAGCCCTCTGGTACACTTGTCTGTTTCTTGATTTGCCAGTAGATCGACCGATCTGTAAAGTGTGCAGTAACCTTGGAAGATCCTGGCAATAAACTTGCGTAGGGCTGGAGAGATGGCTCTTGGGCAGTGAGATCCACTCTGTTGTTGCTGCATGCCTTTCGAGTGTGATTTCTTGGAAGTCCAGAAAAAAGAATTTATAGGACTGGCATACCATTGAAAGATGTACAATCGATTAATATTCCTTCAAGTACTTTTTCTTCCTGTGCAATACATTTATGTGTAGATGGCCTCAATGGCCCTGAGGAGGGAGAGCATAATCCTTTTCCTTCCTGTTGAATGGTAAGGTGTAGATGCTTGAGCTCCAAAGGTAGAGTTAGGAATATTGTTTACAATATTTTATGTGCTTAAGAAACTTCTAGTAACAGTTCAGGGTTTTGATTCTCTAGTGGTTAGTCAGGTCATGGAGCTAGGGCCTATCTTGTATTGGAAGCGTGACTCTTCTCAATTTCACATGAAGGAGGTGTCGTGATGTTTCTTAATCAGATCCATTGATGTGTCTCTCTTACAAAAGCAGGCCATCAAAACTACTGAGAAGTTGCATTTTTTCCCTTCGTTTAGGCTGCTACCAGCATGGTGATGCTGGTTTGAGCTTTGTAGTAGAGCAGTGCATGAGCCAGGCCATTGCCGGCTGCCCTTTGCCAGCCTGCTGGGCAGCAGCGCTTCATGCCAGCCTGTTCAGTCAGTTGGTCCTTAGGTAGAAACTGCTCGCAGACAGGAGGTCACGTCATAGATCGCTTCAGCTTATGTCCTGATGGCATTGAATGATCTTTTTCATTCCAAACAAATGCATATCTACGTCCTGTTCTATGTTCTTTTAACAGTGTGCTTCAATGTTCTCTCATGTTTTGGCTAGAAGGGCCCTTGTTTGTTTCTCCTGTGGCTATTGGGAGGCAGGGAGAGAGAAATGACTACCACAGTGCACTAGTATATGCATTATAATCTTGGTGTCTGTAGTTACTGCAAACTAAATTGTGTGTGCTTGAGGTGTTCCACTTGTTACCAAGAGGGATGGTGACCTTGTTGCGTTGACAGGCTTCTTGCACAGTTATATTTTTCAGGATAGGCAATTCTGACTCCAGCGCCAGCGCTTCCATCCTGTGTGTCTCTTCCCTAAACCTGAGCATAAAACAAACATCAGAATTCAATTGTAGTTTTCTGTTCATCCCAGTCTGAGTGTTAAGTGAGGTGATGCCAGAGCATCAGAGGCCTTCCTTTTGATTCAGCTGAGGGTTTTTTGGCAAATGCATTTCCCCCCTTGAAGGTAAAGACCAACTTGACTGGAGAGCAGCCAGTTTTTTTTCACTCGTGATAAACTGGCTGCTGTAGTTGGTGACTGGTGCTTAACGATTCCTCAGGTGTCAGTCAAGCCGTTTACTGGCTGTACTTGAGCAATGAAATTCTGTCAACTGGTGTCATGTTCTAGAGCAGCTGCTATAGCTGGCCACCAGCAAATGGCTTTTTGGAATAAGATTCATCTTGTCCTATCTCCAAAATTCAACAGTTAGTCATGTGCGTTCCCTTTATAGCTGGTGGAGAGAAAAATGGCATTTCCAGACACTTTTTTTTTTTTCACCTTGGGGTAGAAGTCTGAAGTTAGGTAAGTTATTCTCTACAAGTGTCTGTCTTCATTAAGTAAAATAACCAAGGACTGCTTGCAAGGTTGTGATAGGTGAGGAGAGGATACTCCTGCTCATTTCTCCCTTGGCTTTCCCTAGAGATTGGTGCAGATTGCAGTACCTGCAGAAAACACTGCTTATAGGACTGCAGTGGGCATTTATATAAAAGAAAGACTTACTGGTCTTCGCATTCAACAGCTGATGGTCTAGACCATCTTACCCAGCTTGTTCTTCTCAAGAGGCAGATGAGATACTTGGAGACTTTGCTGCAAAGGCAGCGAAAAGCTTCTCATCCTGAAAATGGCAGGCAGCTTGTGCTGCGGGTGAGGCTGAGGCGTGGAGCAATGACTGCCCACAGGTGTTTTTGTCTAAAAGTATGTTTGTGAGTCAAGAGAGCACAAGAAACTGCCTCTTACAATGGGCTTGATTTGAGCATGAGGTACAAAAGCAGGTAGTTCTGCCTTTATGATTAGGAATTAATATCTTGTATATGTTACCATTTTCTATTTAAAGAAGCATTTTTCCAGGCAGCTAAATACTTATTCTCTGCTGGAAGTCAGTAAAGATGAGGTGCATGTTTTTTACTTGACTTTTATTTACTTCTATACCATTTCTCTCCTCATCTCCAAAACATCTTTCCCTGTTTCCAGGTTTTTTTCCCTTTCTTAATCACAGTATTTCTGGAGAGCTTTCTCTATCCTATTTTAGTAAGTGTTATAATTAATGCTTGGCACTGTTTTACAAACTGGATTTTAGTGTTTCTTTTATCTCAATGTGCTGTACTTTAGTTCTTTGACTAGTATCATGTATGTAACATATCTACAGAACAGTACATTGATTGTATACTACTTCAGTTAGTGAGCAGAAATACCTTATCATCTTCTCCTGATTATTGTTGGTAAATGTTTTTATCTGCTGAAGGCTCTTTGTATGCTTATGTTATCTATTCACTATCCTTTACTGAATGTTTAGCCAAGAGAGGAAACAAATGCTGTCAAACTAAAATTCCTTTATTTCTTATCTTTTTTTTATCTGTAATGAGTGTGCAGTTTAGAAGGCTTATCTGTGCAGTGTTTTGTCTAAGTGTTTAATGTTTATGAAACACAGTAAGCCAATTTCTTTTGAACTGCACAAATAAATTTTAAAATAACTTGGGGGAGCCACACACACTGACAAGCTACACTGAAAGGTTTTAAGGAAGCAGATTCTAAATTGAACCCTTCCTTTTGCAGGCCCAGATCGCTTTTCTTCAAGGTGAAAGGAAAGGACAAGAAAATCTGAAGAAGGATCTAGTGCGAAGAATCAAAATGCTGGAATATGCGCTTAAACAGGAAAGGTACACCGCTTTAGCGATGAGTGCATGATGAAGAAATTCTTTGCCTTTGTATTTGACAAAAACAAGAAGTATTTCATCTGTATGTATTCAGTTCTCAAACTGGCAGGTATTATTATACTAAATAAACCTAGTAGCCTAAATATCTGCATTATGGAAAAAACTAGTAGGTAACGTGCAAATAAAACCTGTGGTTGATCAGTGATGAATTCCTATGTTCTCCTTGGTAAAGTTTCACTGAACTGTATAGATGATACCCCAGAATTACAGTGTATTCTCTTTTTGTTCAAAGTACTAGCTTTCTTTAACAATCTCTGACAAGTGAAATCTTCAATAACTGTCTTCAGTCTGGTAATTACTGGGTTTAATCTTGCTAAGTTTTTAATCTCTTTGGTAGACTCTGCAGGAATATCTTCTGGAGGCTAATTGTGTGAGGAATGAAAAAATATTGGTGTTTACTAGGTAATGAGATGTCTGTTTCTTTGTTCATTGAGGTTTCACTTGAAGTCTCCAGTCTATTTTACCAGTCTATTACATATAATTTCCTGTTGTTCTAATCTTTGAGGCAAACAAATTGGATTTTTATTGTGTTTCCAGAAGTCTTTCTGTTCAACTGATTTATTTTAGGCCAAGTGTAGTTTTAAGATTATTTTTTTTAATTAGTAAAACATCTTTTAAAGTTCTTGACCAGAGAGTATATTTATGGTACTACTGCAGAGCAGTCGTTTCTTACATACCATCTTTTTGTCAGATAATTCCTATTTTTTAATAAAATATGAATAAAATAATTTTTTCTAAATAGATTGTAGAAATAATATTAGAAGTATACACATGCAAATGAGGAATAGGATATTGCTGCTAGATAATTGAGAAGGAATTGTATATCACTGTATTGTGTTTAGATTAGATCTGACGTGGGCTGCTTTACCACAAGACATGCCTTGTACCATCCAGGTTTGGTTTTTTCTCGTAGCTCCCAGTTTATCTGCTGGCATGGAGCTTGCAGCCCATTCCCTGGCCAGCAGTTGCCTCAGGGCTCCAGAGCACTTACTTCCCCTCTGAGGGGCTCTCAGGGGAATGCTTAAGGTAGATACCCGTGTTAGGGTATTGATCTTACATCATATAGCACAGAAGAATTATCAAGTGTGTGTGTGTAATGGAGATTACAGTGGAGAGGCTTACATTTGAGGCGTGATTATGAAGATTAGAGTTGCTTTAAAAAGAAAAGAGGCAGTGGAATATGTTCTTGTGAAGCTAAAGATATGCTCTAAGGCATATAAAATTCATTACAGTTTCTTGCACTTCGAAATTGAGGGAACTATTCCTGCTTACTTAGGGATATTTCCAATCTTTCATGTTCTGAACCCGGATAAATTAGCAATTTCTCTAATTTTTTATCAAATGGTGTAGATAAATTCTGTGTGCTGTCAGAGAAGCTTTGTAAGCTTAAAAAAACCTGATCAAAATTGAACTTCTGTGTGGATAGTGAAAATGCTTCTCAGTTGCATTCAGTAGAATTCACTTAAATTAAGACATTTAAATCCTACTGCAGCAGTCATTGTTAGGATTGTGAAAAAACCACCTGGTGATTCCTTATTAGAAGTTTTTACGTAGGTGTCTTTTCTCTTTTGTTGTGATTTATTTTTTTTCTGCAGTATCTGGTATTATCCCTAGTTACTCAGGTCAGTAGGCTACAGTCAGCTGATCTGATCCAGTCTGACAGTTTCAGTGTTGGTGTGCACTGGTTTTTAAAGTAAATGTGATGCTTGTGAATGGTGTGTGCTGGATACAGCTGTTTATAAGAATTTGTGGTTTTAAACAGCACTATTACTTGCCAGGTTCTGAAGAAAGAGTCTTGTATTTCTGCTGGGAATGTCTCCCAGCAAGTGTTCTTGCTTGATACTTTGAAGAATGGCAACATACTGAGCTTGGAAGCGCCGCTCGCTTTCTCAGTAATTTCCTAAATCAGCTGTCAGCCAGGTCAGGCAGTAGCCGGTTAGGATATTGGCTTTTTCCACTGGGATCTCAGAGCTGGAGAATGAGATCCTACAGACAGGGAGGAAGACATTGCTGGTCAAGTTAGGGGATGGTTGGTGCAGGTAGGAGGGAACAGGGCAGCATTTCCGTGTTCCGTCATTTCTGCCCTGGCCTTGCAGCATACTGAATCTGTCTGAGCTAAATGAAGTAAGTTATGAGCAGTGGAACAAAATATCAAATTGTGGTCCAGAGTAGTCCATGTTCATAACACCCTCAGGAAACCATGAGCAAGAAATGAGCAACATTGGTTTTCTCCAATACGTGCTGTTATGAGCTACTGTTCTGTATAGTGGGTGTTCAGCATTTCTTGTATTGACCAGATTTTTCTCAAAGTTTACTGTAAATAAACAACTTCGGAAGCATTGTCGTTGTTCTCTATTTCATAGCACTTATGTAATTTTTTGCTGAGTAAGGTAGAAATTAGTTTCACTTATAGGTTATCATGTTTTTCTGACAAATTTGGTTTAATGTTCAGTCTTTATGTTAGTAAGGTTACCTTTTCGGCGGATGTATAGGAAACCCAGTTATGTTTGCCAAAGAGTCTTAATGCATTGAATAGCAAAGAGCTTAGAAGGAGGCAGTGAATGTTAAGCAGTGTCATTTGTTCAACTGCAGTTTTGATGTAGTTTTGTCAACATCCAGTAGACTGCAGTGTGTGGCTGTTCACAGCTGAGGGTTACCTTTTATTACTTTATCAATACTTGTTCCACCACCAGTAAATTGCATTGTTGCCTCTGGATTTTCAGGAGCTAGCTGAAATGCAGTACTGTTTCTCTCAAGTACATGTCCTATTTCATCTAGTCTAGTTCATTTCCTGTCTTAACATATTTCAACCAAAGAACTGGACTCCTGAGCCACGTCTCTAGAAACACTTGATTTAATTTTATGTTGTTTTCTGCACTGGTGTGTCTGATCAGCATAAGACTGGCGCCTTCTCCCCTGGGTAGAATATCTCGCCGTGCTGTTCCTGGCAGTCGTTCTTGTTTATGTCTCTTGGTTTGGCGGCAGCTCCCAGATCTTCTACGGATGTTTTGGCAGGCTCCCTCAGCACAGCTGGATCAGATGCTTCAGGTCTGGCGACAGATATTTCCAAGAAATAGTGGCCTTTTTTGATTATGATCAAACTTGTTTCTCTGAGTAGTATTCAGAAAAGTTTCACTGCTCTCAGTCTTAGGAAATGTGGAAGGATGAAAGCTGTTAGCATTTCTGCTAAGCTACTCTTGACGTGTTGTAGCAGCCATGTTGAATGTATCCAAGCACTGTTTGCATGGAAGACACACAGGTTAAAGAAAATACTACTAATCGGAAAAGGAGAATTGTGTAATGAAGTGCAAAAGCCAAGGCAGTGGTAATATTTGGACTTAGATCTGACTAAGCACGTCTGCCCGGTAACATAGTTTCACAGCCCCAAAATAGCTTTTTTTCCAAACAACTTGGTGAAAAATACCTTCTATAAAGTTGTGTCTTTTAGCTAGTTATTTTCAAATAATTTTTCTGTCTCTGCATACTGTTAATAATTCAGATGTAATTTTTGGAAACAGAAGGTAAATCATCGAGGTCGAACAGGTTTCAGATAATAGTCATCTTTGTGATTTGTTTCCCTCCTTCTTTTTCTGTCCCAAAGCCACTGTCCTTGTTTTTAACCAGATGCTGCAAAGGTTGGAGAAGCTTTGATTTTTCTTTGTTCTTACACATTTGCTCTTTTTTGTGTTAATTGTATCTCACTGCTGTCATGTGTGAACTAGAGTTCAATATGAACTGCAGAGGATCTTTACTAAGTGGATTGGTGATTTCTGAAAAAAAAACACCAGAGGAATTAGGCATGACAGGCAGGCAGGAGATTTTCTATTATTACAGAAATAATTTGAATATCAACATGCTAATGGATAAGCTCTATTGAGAATATAGAGGAGACAAAGCTTCTTTTGTGAGAAGTTTCGTAGCTTTTGATTGTGCAGTGAGTGTAACTGAATGGTCAAGACTCTCCCTTCTAGTCTTGGAGTCTCAATGATTGTGTTCAGCACCTTCCTTAGTGGACTTTATAAAGCTTGCCTGTCTTTCATACCTGTGATATTTTCAGCTGTACCATAGGAAAGTTTCTAATAATAAATCTCATACTTGCTGCCTGAAGAAGCGTAGAAAGTACTTCCTTGATGGACTGTTAACTGTCTACATTGATTTTTAGGAAATATTCCTCTGAACTTCAGAAGCTGACCACATCTGAAGGTGGATTCACTGGGTCAAGTACCCTGACGTGATGTTTATGTTTCTGTTTTACATCTAACTGGTTTCTTGCTCAGATATGTGAATTTATTTGAGTTAATTTGGGTTAGAGTTTGGATTTTTTTTTTTTTTTTGTCATTTTATGCAGGTGAAATTAATTTGGGTTAGAGTTTGGATTTTATTTTTTTTTTTTTGTCATTTTATGCAGGTGAAGGTCTATGGATTTGTAGTTTTAACTTTCCCAGCAATGTTAAAAATAAAGATTGGTTTTTGGGATTGTCAACTCTTCAGTTGTCTGTCTTTTGTTAAGATGTGATTCTGCTGCTGTATCTGCATTTCTACTGGTCTCTGCCTTTCGTACAGGTACAAAGTTAAGTCTTCTGACTGATGAAATCTTAGTCTGTAGTTTAGAGTCAATAGAATGAATAATCTCACCTTGCTGAACTGATTTTGTAATGCATTTAGTGAAGGGGAAAAACTTCAGTAGGAAGAAAGAAGACTATTGCTGATTTAAGAGGGAAAGGAATTTTAAAAATGAGCACACACAGTTTTAGCAGATTTAGGTATACGGAGAAGTTTAAAAAAATGCAGGCTGAATTTTTGAAAAGTGAATTTTGGAGAACAGTTGAAAGATTTGAGGAATAGGAAAGGTACAGGGAATGATCCTTTCAGTTAACCTAACAAACGTTTAACCTTGGTTCTTGGGGTGAAAATTATTAACAAAACTCCTAAGAAAACTAATGAATACTTAGAGGATAATGGAACTTTATATATAAAACCCATGAGCTAAAAGTAAATACCTCTTGCCACAAAGATAATGGCTTTCTGAAATTACTTGCAGGAGATGAGTAGAGCACAGTATGAGTCAGTAATCCAGGTTATAGTGAAGTGTTAATATTTGTTCGCTTTTGGTAAGTCAAACCAAAATGGATTAAATGTTAGAGTCACTTGATGACTGCATAAAAAGTTAAAGTTTTTGACAAAGTGTAGTGTTTAAAGTTTGTGAGGTAGGTTAGTGACAGAGTAAGTGACAGAGTAGATTTCCTAGTTCTTGACTAGTTGTTGTTTTTACTAAGGATGATGGGGAAAAAAAGATTCAGAGCATCGGAGTTTAACAGTAATGAAATGCAGTTGTTCTACCCGGGTAACGTCTATCTGCCAGTGAGATGTAGGGAACAGATAGTTGGAAAAGCAAAGATAAATACTTTGGTGGAGCATTCAGCTGCTTTAATTTTGTTCTATTCTTGGTTATTCTTTCCTGTACTGACCAAAATGTTCATCCTTCGCTTACTGCTGTCAATACACTTCAGGTGCATCCTTTCTCCTTTCCTTGCTGGTTGCTGCACAGCTGAGCTGGAGCCTAGTGCTCTAGCTCTTGAGGATGAAGTTGGCTTCCTCGCCTGTCTCTGCTGCTATGCCTAAGAGGCATTTCTTCACTCTACACTTACCTTTCTCATCCAGAATTAAATGTTTATTGTAATTAAAAGGTAACTGGATTAGGAGGAAACTAGTACTGTCGATACTGAATCCAAAGAACTAGCAAGCATTACTTCTTCCCTCAGCCTAATTTTGTTAGAAGTAATGAGTTTTCTTGATGAAATAGGAAGAGGCAAAACAGAACAGTAATGAGATGTCTGAGAAGCAATCAGGAGTTGCAGGTAATGATATTATTTACAGTTGCTCTTGATACAGTCATTTGAGCTTAGTGAGACTTGCCTCATACAAGTATGAAGTGTTACACCCACTAATTTTTTTTAAAAACAGATTTTAAGCAGAAGAGTTCTCTTGTGAGTAGTGGAGCTAATGAAGCTTGTGTACATGTTGGTGTATATGAGGGTGTTGTCTGGGGTTTTTTTTCTGTTTTATGTAGCCTGTATTTTGCCACCAAGCTCCATGCATGTGCATCAGACCTGTGTAGGTGTGTGTGCTGGTTGGCTGTCCCACAACTGCCAAGCTGCACGCCCAGTGTTGCCTCAATTCTTCTCTGCCTTTCTTTCAGGGTAGGAACTGCTATGAGTGCCCCTTTTCTACTTGGTTCTGAATGTCTACCAAGCTTTACAGGGAATAATTTTTTTTTTTTGAGTTGTCTAAATTTTTGTGGTTGGCAGAACACAGTCTTAGAGACAAAAGCTGCAGTGACTGCAAGAGAAGGGGGGAACAGATTGCAAAACTGGCTGAGGCTCTCTTTGCCTCTGTTTCTCTGTTACTGTGTTATAAGTCTACTCTAATGAATCTTTAATAACTGACATGTGCATTTATAATGCTGTACTACTGTAGTATTATTTTGTATATTTAAAAGTCTGTGGTGAAGCTTTTCAGTTTAAAATCATTTGCTCTTGTCATCATACAGCATGCTTTGGGGGGTAGGCTAAATATTTTTGAAAGACAAGTCTCCATTCTGGTCAAGTAGCAGATCTAGCAGCTTTAAGAGAAACTGGTGTAGATAGGCTGCTTGTCAGTGCTAAATCTTGTAATAGTTATAACCAAGGGCCTGCTGCTGTTGGAAAGCATAGCATTCTGGAGAATAAAATTAAGGCTTGATTAATTGAGGTGACAATATGAAAGATTAAGTAGATGGCACTGAACTGACATGGAGAGTAAAATAATTTCATAGTGATGACTTAAAGCAGGGGTGGGGAGGCAAGCAGAGAGGAGCCCATATGAAGAGAGAAATGGAACCTTTTCTGCAGTAAGAACATTTTGTAAAATCTATACATCCCTGTTTTTCTTACAGAATCACAGAATGTTAGGGGTTGGAAGGGACCTCAAAGGATCATCTAGTCCAACCCCCCTGCCAGTGCACTTTGCAATTACTCCTCAAGCAAAAAAAAAATTAAGTAAAATTACGTATCTGAAGTTCTGTTGAAAATACTTGTTTTGTTACTAACCTAGAAGAAAGGAGTGGCTTTTCAAGCAAGACATTTGTGTGTTTAGAGATACCTTTTAAATGCGCTCATACTTTTTTTTTTTTCCTCCCTTCTTTCAGGGCTAAATATCACAAACTAAAATATGGCACAGAATTGAATCAGGGAGATATGAAGCCACCAAACTATGATTCTGGTAAGAATGTAATAAGAATGAGTTCATTATTGGCATAAAAGCTCAACTGTGGTTTGTGCAAATGCTGAAATGATAGTGTTGATAAAATAAGCCACTTAATGGAAGCAGTGGGAATAGAGGTAATTAATAAAGACTGTATTTTACTCTTCTAAAATTAAAAATATATGCTAATGCTCTGAAAGAGTCTATTAATAATCACTTTAGTTTAGTTTTTAAAAACCCAAACCACCAAGCTGTTCCTGGAGAGAATAATTTTTTGCTTCCTTAGTAATGTGTATGGATGTTTTGGAACCAGTAGATACTAGATTTATAATGTTTATATAGAAGAATTCTTCTGAGTAAAAAGATAATGGCAAAGGGCATGAAATGTGTAGTACATAAGCTGTTGTTCAGTTATCTCAGTGGTATTCCAGGAGAAAAGTAGTAAAATGTGAATTAGACATACACGAGAGTTTCAGATTGGGGAATTTATTTACAAAATTCCAAAGATCACTGGCAATGCGTATACGACTAACTTGAGTGCTGTGCTGCAAGAGGACAGTTTTTCACCTTGAGCTCTTGAGAGCTGATTCGTTTTTCTGGAAGTTGCATGTCCTATGTAACACACATGGTTTTAAGCACTGAACTTGAGGAATTTAGAATTTAAATTATTCATCCCTCTTGCTATCTCCCTAACCTTTCCTCAGAAATAAAGGAGTACAGAGATCTGGTTACAGGTCAGGCCCTTGAAAGGAGAAGTAATAGGTGATTATTTTTGTGTCTGTCCCTTGTTGCTCCTCCTACAGCATTGAAACTAGAATCACCTGGGCATAAAAGAAGAATGTAGAAAGTGTGCAGATTTAAGCTCTGTCACTTGGTTTGTGGAAGGGATGGTCTGCTTTACTGTCATGATTAATTCTCATTGGATTCAGAAGGTCGTTAAAACCCACAACCCAAGAAAAAATCCAATCCCACACCAGCTGGTTAAACTTGATGCCAGGCTTTTATTGTCCAAGATACAATGAATATTTTGAGAGATTTTATTTCGCATTATTATGAAGGTTATTTCCTTAACCAAAGAAATAAATTAATTTGGTATTACTAAGTGGAGGATGCCAATCTGTATCTGGACCACTAGAAAACTTTGTTCTGATCACACCAAGGTCCTAGACATCCTGGGTTTTTGGAATTTCTCAGCATGCAGCTATAGCACTTTGCTCCAGTTTTCGACTGAAGACTGTAGAGCAAGGCCTGGCTTGCCCAGCAGAGATGTAGCCAGTGCATTACTTCTGCAAAGTGAACATTAGTGCAATTACCTTTGCTAAAGTTCCATTTCTGATTTATCCTATTGCAGTTTATATATATGTAGCTATCAAAAATATACACTACAGCAAGTCTGGACTGATTAAAGATACACTTAAAATAGAAAAATTGTTATCACGCTCCTTTGGAGTTGTGTTTGATAGATACTTGTATGCCTGTGCCCTTCCCGGCCCCCCCCCTCCTTCCTGCCGAATCAGGAAAAAATGTGAAAGTGTTTCTAGTAGTTCCTCCAAATGCGTCCTTTTCTGCTTTCTTTATGACATCTTGGGGAGTCACTAATACCATTTAGAAGAAGGAGTTCAATCTACTGATAAAGGGATACTTTTTTTCTTTCCTCCCTTTTTTTATACTGCTCGTGATATTTTGTGCTATTATTTGCTCCTAATGCAAGTCCCTTCATTCTCATCTGTAAACTGCTGTCACTGCTAGCAGGCATTAGTTTTGAGGAGACTAAGCAAAAGAGAATTCTTCCCTCTAGATATACTTAATAGTGACTTCAGAAGAAGAGTTTTTGCTATCAAAAGGAATTTTCAAATAGATTTATCTCGGTTGTGTTTTAATTCTTATAGATTGTGCACTGGGTCCAGCTGTGTTCAGTGGTCAGAAAATTGTTTATTTCCTATGGTTGCTATTAAATGGATTTGTGAATTTGAGATCAGTAAAATTCATATGGCTCTCCTTGCGTATGAATTCTGATTTGTCTTTGATAGGTTCCTTGGGTGAGCAGTGATTTTTTTTTTGTGTGTGTGTGGTGTCAATTAAGTTGTTTAACAGCAAATGACTTCCCAGTAAGGGCAACAGCTTTCCCACATCACATATCAAGTTACTCAGGATTATACCACAAGTTTTTCTAGTTCTTAATTTTTCTTTACACAAAGAGATTGTTTTTATTTAAGTGTTTGGACCACAAGGGTGTCAAGTTTTGTGGAGGCTTTACTAGATAAAAAACCAAGATCTTTTATCTTGGGAAGCATATACTTACGTATCTCCTGTAGGTGGGGAGAAAAAAGCCTCCATCATATAGCACAAAGCTGTGTGTGGAATAAATGTGTAGCTGTTGGTTGCCAGCATTCAAATAGGTTTCTCACCAGAACAGCCACATAATATTGTTATGAATTTTCCTGGAGAGGTACTGTTTGGATACAAATTTACAGTTGTGGAAAATGTGGTGAAATTTTTTCAACAGCTTTCCAGGTTAAAAAGTAGACAAACAACATCCTGTTGTACATTATTTTTTTTTTTTTCCCTTCCACAAGACTAATACGAAGATAGACAAATTTGAATTTGGTGTGAGTATGCCTATTTGTTTTATGTTAACCAGTCAAATGTTAAGGAAACTGTTTGGACAGTAAGTTCTAAACAGATATGATGCTGCAGTTGCATTTCATATTGTTAGCAGTTAAAGATGCTTGTATGCCAACTTAAATTATAGCAGCAATTGTATTGGAAGGTTAATGCAAAAATGGAACTCCAGATTGTCTATGTGATTACGTGCCTTTAAAGAAAAAGGAGCAAGATGGGGCTTTTGGATGTGAGACAGAAGGGAAGGCACTGGTGACTAGTGGAACTTGCTCTTATACAGTAGAATCTACCTGATGGTCATTATGTGTCCGTAGTACTACAGTTACAGTGCTATGTCCAGGGGTTTTTCTCTCTTGATCGATTATTGGCACTTTGGATCTTTTATTTTGTTATTAAACCACTTCTAATCATTTGAAGACAAATCACATTTGTCCTTGCAATTGGATGGGCATCTTTTTAAAAAGTTGGACAGGGAAATAAATGTTTGTAATTAAAATAATCTTTTCCAGATGAAGGGAATGAGACAGAGATTCAGCCACAACAGAATAGTCAGCTAATATGGAAACAAGGTCGACAGCTGCTAAGACAGTAAGTATTGGAAAAAAGGTTTCTTAATAATGAACTCAAGGGCAAGAATCTGGTAATGAAGTGTGATGATGGTGGTATTTGGTTTTTTTTTTCTGTTACATTTACTTTCAAGAAAAGTTAGTATGTGTGATGAAGTTCATTCAGATTCTGCCCTACTTTTCCTAGGTTTTTGAAAAATTTTAGTATTTCAGACCTTCGGATGAGAAGACGTGTTAAATCACAAACACCTAATCTTCCTTGCTTTTCTTTCACTGAGTATATAACAACCTGCTTGGGAGAACAGTGGGTCATGACACTTTGCAATTAAAAAAAACACATGAAGAAGTAATTCTGGTAAGAGCTACATAAAACAGAAAAAGATAGTGTTGGAGAGGGATAATTTTTGGCCTGCTCAAGGCACAGAAGAGATGAATATCCAGAAGGTTAGACTAGAAGTTTTCTAATTCTCAGTTCATCTTAGTGAAGCATATATCTGTTAATCTAAATTAGTTTTTGAATTATGGTCATAGTGAGTTAATTAATTTCCATGTTATTTTGTCACATTTTTGTTGAGGTTTTCTTGCCTTAGTTACAAGCCTTGGTTTAAACTGAAGGGGTCTCTTAAAGATGTCTCATTAGAGTGTCTGTATCTCTTCTTTTTCATGCATTTTCTTCGTACCCTATGCTGACAGTTAATTCTAAGATCTTCTAATTAACTAGCAGAATTTTCGCTTTCTATTTTTTCTGTGTGTTACACAGGACTAAATGAGAGGGGAGGGAGACAGTAAGGACAGTCTGGGGCTTATATTAAAGGACCTTTTTCCAAGGAATTATAAAGTTAAATTTGTCTCACAGTGGTTTATACATTTTTTCTTTCTTTTTTTTTTTTTTTGCAAGAGCTCAAATCTTTGCATGTATGTTAAATAAATGTTAAATAAATGTAAATAAAGTAGTCTTCACTTGGATCAGTAACTTTGAAAACAAGTCGTTCCTCAGTGCAAATCATAAATCCGTGACACAGTGCTGAATACAAAATGCGTAGGTGACTTGTTTGATTTTTATGCAGCCAACAATCAATATTTCTCTTCTAATGTGATTATGTGGAGGATATTGTTAAATAATTGGAGGAGGATGTTCTTGCAGGAAAAGTGCGTGCCCTTGATTTGTGACAGCTGTTATTCGAAAACAGCATTTCCCTCCCCTTAGTGTTCTCTAGAATATTGACCATATAATCAGTCCAGTGCTCCTGAGAAGACAGTCCTATTAACTGCATGCTCTAGTGTAAAGGACAGACAGCAATTTTTACTTTTTTTTGTTTAATAGTCATTATTTCCTGCCTGTTTGCTCCAGAGGCAATATGGCATATTGATGAAAGAGCCAACTTTAGACCTTGAGGTTTTACAAGCTAATCAAGGGTTCTTGCTGCCCATCCCTTATATAAGACAACTTAATATTTTGCAGATCCATTGCCGAATAAGCAAAAGGCAAGACAAAGTTTTTTATAAAACTTGGTGTGTTATTTAATAGTAGCTACAGCTACAGAATTTGTCTTTACTCCTGCTGTTTTCTAGGCTTCTAATAATGCTTACGTAAGGAACATTATCTGATAGGTCTTGTAAGGCTTTGTGTGTAGTTTCCATGTGTTGAAGATTAAAATGGCCGTGTTGTACGTGCAACTGTGATGATTTTTATAACTAGTTGTAAGTATTTTAATTGAAAGTGCTTTTCCATCCATTTTAGTAAATGAATGAATAACGTATTGTATAACCTCTGACTGCTAGGCTCTTTGATTTTTTTTTTTTTTTTTTTTTTCCCCAGTGACTGTAGAGGCTGGTACTGCAAGAGGCGATCCCTCTGCAGCTGGTACAGGATGATTTATAAGCATGTTTCATTAGCACAGCACCATACCCTGCTAAGCTAAGGGTTGAAGATGACTTTAGGGAGAAGTGTTTATTTACTTCTTTGAATAAGTGAGAGGTGCGTGGAAAACTAGCATGAGTTCTGTTCCTGCAGGTATCTACAAGAAGTGGGCTACACCGACACGATACTGGATGTGAAGTCAAAACGAGTACGAGCTTTACTGGGCCTCTCAAGCGATGCTTCGGAGAAGGAAAACAGAAGTCAAGAGCTGATGGTAAATGGCACAGAGAGCCAGATGAAAGAAAACGCGATGATGGGGTAAGCATTAAGATGACGTTGTGGTTTTTTTGCAGAAATGCACTTAATGGTGTAGAACCAATTTTTTTTTTTTTTACTGAAAGGATTTCGGGCTTTTTTTCCGTACCTAGAGCAATTCTAACTACTTTTATTCCATTAAGCAATAAGTATGGAGGGAGGTCTTAAGATTCACAGCTTGAAAGTAAGTGTTTTTTCAGTTGGATGGCAGCACAAAGTCAAACCAAGCTGCTTTGAGATACGATTCCTAAGTGGTTAGAGGTCAATGTTGTTTGAAGTTAAAGGCTTATTTATATTGCTGGAAGCTTTACTGTATCGATTATGGGCTTTGCTTCTCTGATCTGTGCTGACTATGACATGGTAATATATATGAGACACAGGATTTTTTTGACTGGATCTGAAAACCAGTCACTTGCTACATTCTGATTCCTGTGAGTTTTTGATTTTCCACTAATGGATATATATATATATAAATGTAAGGTATTTTTTTTGGTCCTTCAATATTTCTAATGCTATGAAAAGTCAGTTAAGGAAAGTAAAAGCTTACTCTTGCTTTTAAGTAGTGTTGAAAACATCAGAGGCTTTTTTTTCATTTTCTTCTCTTTTCAATGCAGAGGCATTTTTTTGTTTGTTTGGGTTTTGTTTTTTTTAAAGTAAGTTAAATCTGAAACTGTAGAGGCTTCAGAAAAAACAATCTGTGCTTGTTTAAGATATTGTAGTTTCAGAACTTGTGAAATAATGAAAGCTACCCAGAATTGTTTGTCTGAACAATAGGTGAGGTAACTGTTGCCAGTAGTTTGTGCTGCATCAGCAAACACAGCTTTCCTCAAAGATTTTCTTTTTTCCTTTTCTATACTGGCAAAATGCAAGACTTTTTTTCTTTTTTTTTTTTTTTCTAAGGTCTAATGTTGTTATATGACAAATTCTGTCTTTTAAAAAACATTTGTAAAATTTCATTATACCCAGCAGATAGCAGCAACTTCAGGCCAATGAGTTATGTAAGGGCAGAAGTTAATTGTTATGTAATTAAATTCAGTGCTGTGAGGTGGAAAATTTGAACATATGAGAAAACCCGCAAGCTACTAAAATACGTTGTGCCGCTATGTAGTTGACAAGCGATGTCATTTATGTACAGCAGCTTTGTTTTTGAAGAACAAGGAATGCTTGATAGATTGCAATAACAATTCTAGTTTGATTTCTAGTGAAGGGGTCACTTCTTAGAGAAAGTGAGTCCTCTCCTTACACTATAAATCTTATTTGAATGTGTTTACTTCAGTTTTGAAATGAATATATTTATAAGGTAGTCACTTGATGGTGCTTTTGATATAGCAGTTTTGGATATATTTGCATTTCTTTTCTATCTCCTGGCTTTCTGAGTAGGTCTGACACTAAGTTTAAGAGTTTGTAGTCTACCCTATGGCTGAAGATATTCACTAATAGAAAAAAAAATGAGTTCTCTTCTGTTGTGGCTCTGCAGGCTCATCAGCTGCAAGGAAGGTCAGGCTGGAAGCTTTGAGACACTGTTTTCGTCTCGCTGGCGATGCCTAAGGTGTCAGGCTGCATTAGAAAGCTCAGGGGTGCATCTTGATACATGATGTATGAGAAGCGACTCCAGGGTTTTACAGTGGAAGAGTTTTTGAGGGATCTTGTTCACCCTAGTCACATCAGTCTTCATGGGTGATTTTGAGTTTGTGGACGTTTGCTGAGATCGTATTTCACTGAGGGGTAAAAGTTGGGATTTCACTAAAATTCCTCAGTCAGTCTGAGTACAGGGCTAGCTTTCAACACTGTGATTCTTGTGGGTCTTTCAAGTACACTTTCAAACCATCTCTTCCTATTTCCTGTGCTGGAAGTGTTCGGTGACTTAACAGCTATTTCATTTTATGCTACTAGATGCTGTAAAATGTTACCCCTCACTGTGTCTGTGGCATCATTCACCTCCTCCCATCTGCATTGTTTCTTGCCTCTGAGATTCTGAAGCGCAGCTTATGGCAGATGGGAAGTCAGAAATGAGATGCAGCATTCTCCATTAGCTCCTGCTTCCCTGTTACCTGCCTCATCTATTGTTGGCATTACTTAAACAAGTATAGAACAGCTTCTTTTTGAAGAGCATTAACACTGAATAGGTGACTAAGATTTAAAGCATACGGATCTTCCTTCTGACCCCAGCTGGAATTCTTACTGAGTGTTTGAAAACTTAATGATTTATTTTTTACCTGTTTGGCAGAACTGGGAAAAATTTAGATAGCTCAGCTAAATTTTGGCTCATGGTCGAGGTAGGGGCACTCTTTGAAGCAAACTCACTGGTGCTAGGCTGCTTACTGGGAGGTCAGAGAGTTTGACAGTTGACTTCATAGCCTCTTATTATTCCTGTGTAAAGCGAGAAGGGAATTGGGGCCTCAGCAGACTTGCACGATTGGAAGGAGCATGATGAACCAGGGCCTGAAGTTCAGAGGTGGTAGAGGAGGAAAATTATGGTGAGAGATTGGAAGAAAAAGAAACCATCCAAAACCTTAGTGCACTCACAGGAAGTTTCAGGGATATGTGTCTGTGTGTGCACCAGGACCACCAGACATTGGGAGAGTTGCAATTTAAAATGTAAATGGAAGATGCTCTTTGGATACAGTGAAACTCTTTGCAGGAGAAAGCTTTGCTCTCACCACAGAAGCCTGTGAACTGCTCAAGCTAATGTGGTTTATCAAATTCTTTAGTTCAAAACATTTAATGAACATTAATGTGAAATATCTTCTAACAAGCCAGAGGCCTAGCGGTCAAGCTGAAGAGGTTTTAGTTGTGTTTGAAGAGTGCTGGACAAAATGTAATGCCCGGAAATGGATCTAGTCTAACAAGGCATACCTCTGTTAGAGTGCGAAGCACAGCTTATAGAACATTTGATTTGTTTGATCTTGGAAGAACTGCTTGATGTTGTGGACCCCGCTGAGAAAAGTGGTTGCATGGAAGGAAGAATATGAGAAGCAGAGTATGATGACTGAATAAAGAGAAAGCTTGTGGGTGAGAAACAATGAAGACAAGTCAAAAGGAGTTTAGAAAGGCTGTGGGTGAATGTGATGAAGATAATATACAGTAGAGCGAAAGACGGCACAGTGAAAAACAGGAGGAAGATGGACACACTGATGCATTTCAGGAGCAGGAAAGTGGACGGCACATTAGCTTTAAATTTCCTTGAAGATTTTGCTATATAGCGATGTAAATTGCAGAAAGAACAAATTGGCTAAACTGCATTCTGTACAGTTGAACCCTCCTTTGATAAATCCCAAATAAAGTAAAAAAGATATTTGATGCTTTCATGCTACCATATGGTTACCTCTTTGGAAGGAGAGAGGGCAGAATGGGAATGGGAAAGAAAACTTCCTTAATGTTTTGACTGCTGTTTATTGGTAATCAGCCTCTATTTTCTCAGTGAAATTAAAGTGGTGCAGAACAAAACTGATTGATACTGAAAGAAATTCCAGTAAAAAAGCAGAAGAGCTGATGTATTTCTCAACAGAGTCTGATTTTAGTGCAATTTTTGTATAAGTCCATTAATCTGCGCTTGTTGCTGCAACTCAGCCTCCTTCAGCAATACCTCTGACAACAGCAGACACCCACGCTTCTTTCTTCTTGTTTTTGGTGTTGTGATTTTTTTTTTATTATTTTTTAAAATGCCTTTGATTGTTGTGAAGGGAAGCCCAGGCATTTTTCCTCTGACCCTAGGGATTTGTGAAGTGCGTACACAGTGGTGGACAGGGAGTCTATTCCTCCTCTGCTCATCTCATTACATCTTTCACAAATTTTGCGAGTTGTTTGTTGTACCAAAACTTATCTACTGTGCCAGTTATATCTTGTTGTCTGTTATACCTGCTTCAGCAGCAGGAGTTTGGGCACTCAGTGCTATGATATCAACAGTAAGTCAGGCTTTTTTGGGCACTCAGTGCTATGATATCAACAGTAAGTCAGGCTTTCTTATGGGAAAGGCTGGTGAATACTTGGATAATTATTGTGAAGTTGGTGCTGCTTACTTTGGTATGTAGAAGTGTGCAGTAGTTACTGTAGTAATATATTGTAGCATATACTTAAGCAAGTCCTGTTTATTTGTAATAGATAATATGCATTCTACTAGGCTCTAGTTATTTTAGAAAATTGCCATCTGGTCCCTCATACCTCTCAGGTTAACTTTTTTTATCTTGGAGGGTTGCAGTTACATCGGAGAACTCCCCTCCAGCTCTGTTGGTTTTTTTTTTCCCTCTTTTTTTTCCTGTCATATTTGGTACAGTGATGAAGAAACTATTGTTATCTCAAAGTGTTTTTAAAGGCAAATCAGTTTCTTTTTTTACTATTAGTTGAAGTAGCCTCGGTCTCTGTGTGTTACAAGCTGCTACATCTGTGGCTAAACTTGTATTCTTACGTTGCCTATTTATTTGCTAATGTACAGATCCTCTTGAAAACTTTAGCACTCAAGACATCATGTGGATTTTGAATGCACCCTGCAAGATTTTGGTTCCATAAATGAAATGTTAATATGATAACCTGAAATAGATATAGTCCTGTTTCTACTTATTTCATGGAATTTGAAAGGGAATCTGTTTTAAGTTTCTTCAATCAGCTCACTTGCATTGCAAAAGATAAGTACCACTTGGCATGACTGGACTCAAAAATAAATACTAAAATAATAACTTTATAGTAATGGCTGAAATTTTTAACACCTGCAGTGAGAGAAATGGGTGCTTTCCCCCAACAAACTGAAACAAATGAAAGCTGCCTGCAAATGTCACTTGTAGCCTTGAAAACATGAGAGTATTTAAGTATCTTCTGTTCACTTATTACCTTATTTTTTTAATAACTTTATCCTACTGACTGAAACTTAAGCACTCAAATTGGTTTGCCTTCTTGAAGGCGTGTATTTGACTACCCTTTGATATGAGTGGAAGCAAATACAATAAAGGAGTAGAACTGAAAAGGAATGAAGGTGTACCAAGCGTAGGTATTTACACATATATATGAAT